ATTAGAGGTGCCTTCCAGAGCGCATCACCAACAGATCTCTCACTCTCATTTCTTCTCGCTGTCTCTTTCTTTCTAGTTGAGACGGTCACTGAACATATCAGCAGGCTGTCTTGAGGGGGATTTACACGCTACGATAAATCGTAACAATTGATTGAACGATTTATCACTCCAGCAAATGGAAAGAGTAGAGCACTGTTTACTCACTACGATAAATTGTAACGATTTCTTGTCAAATGTCACTTACCGCTATCGACCCCAGGAAAGCGTTTAACCATGGAGGAAGTAGTGTTGCTGTCGCTGTACATCGGTTGTTTAGTGAGAAAGGTGAAGAAGTCGCGAAAACCAAGAACACAGTGGATCCGGGAGTGGATGCTAAGGAGAAAGGATATCTCTCATGTAAATGTGTTGATAGAATTACAAAATGAACCAAATGACAGGCGAAATTATTTGAAAATAAACTAAGAGACCTGTGTTGAGCTGCTAAGTTTAGTTTTTCCGTTTATTGCGAAATATGATACTGTTATAAGGAAAGCTGTATTTCCTCACGATTCCTTGCCACTGGAAGAAGTTTGAAGGACATGGAATATTCCACTGCCATTTCTAGACCCGGAAACATGTGAGGCTATCTACGAAGTATTAAAACAATACATACAGGTATGTTAAGAACAGTTCATTATTTTCAATCATATTCAAATTCAAACTTAAAACAATACAATTCATTTCAATTCAATACAATCAAGTGTAACACAATTCAATAAAGTGATTATTCATAGAAGATGAAACGTTCAGTAACCAGGTATTTTTCTCATGATTGATCCAAGAAAAAATGTCTGTGAGGAAGCTTTCCTAAATTTGTGTTGCGGTATTACCCACCGAGGAATCAGTTGTTTTTTGTCCAATGTGTAAGAACATTGGGAGAGGTGAATATTCGAATTTCTATTGGAAATATTTATTGGCTCATCAAAAATCACATTTTTGTTGATTTCTTAGTATTTACATATCAAAACACATGCTTTTGAAAGCTTTCAAGCTCCTCCATTCATAAATACCATCGTTCCTCTCGATTATTCCTTGTATTTCCACATTTCCATTTTCCATTACTTTATCAAAACTTATTTCAAATATTTTTCAGCATGCCGACATCCGCGCCGATTCAGAATCCGAAGCTGACAATAGTAACGAAGAGACTGCTATCCTTAGAGTTAATAGAAGATATTCCCTCTACAGAATCGATACCAAAGTGGAACTAGGCGAAATAGCCGCTCTCTATTTGAATAAATTCGGTCATTTGTTATTTTTCTCCTCTTTGTGCATTTACCTATTCGGAGACTTGACAATATATGCCGCTGCTTCCGGAAAAACAATAGTCAATCTCATTTGCATCAACGCAAATGAGACGGAAGACTACAGTTCGAGGTGTTTTCACTTTTCGGACATAGCCAAAATAGATATGTACAGAATATTCGTCGCTGTGTTCGCCCTGTCGGTGGGCCCGTTCGCCTACTTCAACGTACAAAAAACTAAATATTTACAGTTGTTCACCATAAGTATACGATGGTGCGCTTTTTTTATAATGGTTACCGCAGCCAGTATTAGGTTGGTGAATATGGGCCAGCAGGGTCACCCCGAAATGATGAACCTCAAGGAGGTTCCAGCCCTTGCTGGTTCTAGTGTGTACAGTTTCATGTGCCACCACTCGTTACCAGCGCTGATTGCGCCAATTTCAGACAAGAATCGTATCATGAGAAAAGTCAGTTACGATTTCTACTTGATCTGCGCTTTCTACCTGCTACTAGCTTTAACGGGTTCGTTTGCTTTCGCGGTCGTCGACGACTTGTATTCCCTGAATTTCACCTATGACGACGACTCTAACCTCTTCCGCAAGATTATCGGGTTTTTTCTGGTCGCCTTTCCCTTATTTCCCATGTCTACAAGTTTTCCTATAATTGCGATAACCTTACAGAGCAATTTGAAGAACCTGGTTCTGAAGCCCACTGTCAGGCCAAACTTGATAGTGAACCATCTAGTGTTTCCGACGCTGGCCGTCGTCCCTCCAGTTGTTATGGCGCTTTGCACGCACAATATCAAGTATTTAGTGGAAATTACGGGTTCCTACGCGGGAGTAATGGTCCAGTATGTTGTACCCGCCATTCTTGTGATTGAAGCTAGAAAGCAGTGTGCCAAAGATTTCGGATCCTGCGTTCATAAGTATTCGAGCCCGTTTAGGCACCGGTATTGGTTTGCATTTGTCATCGTTTGGTCGGTGATCAGTTTGATTTTTGTCACAGTGGATTTTATTTGGAATAAATGAATTTATTTTATTATAGTCAAGATGTTTCTTTTCCTTGAGTATTATTTTTTCGCTGTAGCACTAGACTCGCTAGACGACATATTTGAGTTCTTTGAGATTCAGAAAACATTTTTAAGCATTTCTAGGTTGAAAGATATAAAAAACCTTCCTAGAATATCTTCCAGAAGGAAATGAGGTGAGCTATTTTATTATTTTATGGGCTACTAGGTTACTTTGGCTCTACGAGGACTAGTGGACAGCGTAGGATAACAAATAAAACACCCAACTCCTTTGACATCTGTCGAAGAAGTTGAGAATTGAATAATCAGCAAAGTAGTAACTGCATATATATTTTAATTTTTTGTCCATTTCTGAAGACGGAGGCAGATTTTGGCGTCCGAAAACGTTAAAATTAGTATCGGTAGTATTTTTTTGAAAATTTTTTGATAGACAAAAGTGTTAAATACGACAAGTTACTGATGAATAGATCATTTTTCTTTATGGAAAATACTTTGATTTTACGCGGTAACTTATATCGGGGTAAATTGAAAAGTTTGTCCTTTTTACACTTGTATTAAAGTTCTCCATTATAATTTTCATATTTTTCAGATTGTGAAAGGTGAAAATACCCAAAAAAAAGATCGACCAATGAAGTTATAATTTGAAAACCACGAATAGTTGTGTTAGTTCCTAAAATCAATTATATTTTGGGAATAGTGTTTAAAATCTCACATGATTTGGAACAGACTTAGTTTAAAGGTGTGCATAGTGCATATACAGGGTGTCAAAACTTATACGAAAAAGCCGTTGTCAACAAAAAATAAATAAAATAAAATCAAAAAATTTGAAATTAAGAGATTCCAAGCCAGGTGGATTCATGACGTTTCGATTGTTAGCATCAACAATCGTCTTCGGGTGATGACTGGACCGATCAACGCACGATAGCCATCTTGATTTCGTACAGGTTGGAGCCCAGCTCCCTTACCCTTTTAGCTGATTATTGTCGAAGACGGACAAATGGGTTCATGACTGAGGGGATACTGGACCGATTCCTCTGTGAGCTGACTATAGGTCATTTGAGTACTTTCACTTATCTCTGCTTTCCTTTTTCCGTTTTACTGATTTAGTGGAAGATGACCGTTTGAAGGGAGTTGGCCATTTTTAAAAGCTTTTATTTAACTTGACTTGTATGTATGTTAACAAATCTTGCAAGTTTAATTCGACCCACTTTCCGACATCTGATTGACTTGAAATTTTGCATGCTGGTCCAGAACCGATGACAATGCATGTTAATCATAAACGTGACCTGATGCTGCTGCCAGGATCGGCTCTGTACGAAGATCACCTCTGCGGTAAATAGCAGGGACACGAAATTTTGTATACGCATTCGTTTATGATAGGCAATTGGTAGGCCCACCATGAAATTGATGCCATATCCAGGGCTGGGTTCAATAAAAAAAATATATTTCTAGAAAAAAAAATTAAATCAAGCTTTACCTTTAAATACTTACTTCCCGACTCCAAAAAGAAGACAATAAATGGTGTAGTAGGTTGTAAGAACCCATATTTATTTGCATTGTAAAAAAATATTATTATCTACCACCCTTTTGAGGCCGTGCCGAGAACTGAGTGGCTTGTTTTAAAAGTTTTTTATCATTATTGTGTTCGCTTGATTATGGGTTTCCATATGTTGTGTATCTCTACGCTAACTTGGCTGAATACATTGTTGGATAAAATGTATGTGGCTTCTTTGAATTTTATCCTAAACCAATGTTCCTCTTTGTGTGTGATCTCAGATTGGGACCAGTCGATGTTATGTTGATGGGTCCAAACATACTCTGCTATTGTTGATTGGTTGGTTTCCCCTCGCTGTGTGCGTTTCTTGTGCTCGGCAATGCGAACATTCAATGGCCTCTTAGTTTCACCGATATAGGTTTTTCCGCACTTACAGGGTATCCGGTAAATGCAATTCTTGGACTCGCAGTTCTCGTTTGCTGGCCTGGTTTTCGTGAGGCTGCTACAGATGGTGTTTCTGGATCTGAAGCAAGTTCTGATGTTGTACTTGGATCCAATTCTTTCTCAGCTATTCTTTTTATTCTTCTTCTTAATATCTTGGCATTGTTCTTCAGAAAAAACTCACCTGAAACGCTCACTTGGAAAAATATTTATGTGATGATTGTCAGAGCAATGATCACTTATGGTGCAATTGCCTGATGGCCGAAGGCTATACAGAAAACGGTCCAGGCGAAGCTCTCTGGTTTACAGAGACAGGCTGTGGTGCCATCAGTACCACATCGTCAGCGGCCATGGAGATCCTTCTAGATCTACCTCCTCTCCACATTTGTCTGGAGAGGGAGGCTTGTGCTTGTGCACATTGGCAATTACAAAAATCAATTTAATGCAGAGTGCAACAGAATGTTGGTTGACACTGGAAGTCACAGCATTCTGGAAATGACCTATGACTTTATGCCTCCAACTGTCAACTATGAATTGCCTTATAAAGTACCGTTACCGAGTATTGAGAACTAGATCCTCCAGGAGAAGGAAATATCAAGAGCAGATAGTTGTTGGTTCACAGATGGATCAAAATCACCTTCCGGTTCTGGTGCAAGTGTTTTCAGTCGCAGACGAAGGACAGAGATATCAACCTGCCTATGCGACTGTATTTCAAGCGGAAATTTACGCCATTGAATTGTGTGCGGAGAGATTGGAAGAATCCAACCTAATACCCAAGTCAATAAAATATTTTCTCGGACAGTCAAACGACGTTGGAAGGTCTTGGCTCCTACCGAGCAAAGTATAAATTGGTAGCAAATTGCCAAAAACGATACTCATCGATAGGAAGACTTAACATATTGCCTCTGGTCTGGATTCCTTGCCATACTGGCCTGGAAAGCAATGAGGCTGCTGACTCCCCTCCAAAAAGGGTGCTGCAAGCAGCTTCATCAGACCAGAAGCTATCATTGGCATCGCTTCAGGCTTTGCCAAAGATTGAACACCTGGATTTACGGACTTCTGGCAGAATCTTCCAGCATTGGCTCACTCCAAGGCGTTTATTCACCCTTCGAAGATTGATACCAAACAGTTTTTAGACTATAATAGGGATGAACTACGATGTCTAACAGGCCTTCTTACAGGTCACTGCCATTTGAATCATCACACGCAGAGACTTGGACTGTCGGAAGACAGTGTGTGTCGCCTCTGTCTGGAAAATGATGAAACTGCAGAGCATATACTTTGTGCCTGCCCCGCTGGGGACCGAATCTGGTTCTTTGAGTTCGGCAGATCCGTACTCTCACCATCTGACCTGAAAGACCACTCACCATACAAACTAATCGGTTTCGTCAAGAAGCTGGGTTTATTTGGCCGAGTGTGAATAGGTGTGAGCCACAATAAACCCTTATGGGTTGCGGTGGAGGGTCGAATAGACCCACTCACTTCAGACCTACCTACCTACCTACCTACAGTACTTTATAATATTGAGTAACTTTTGGTGTTAACAAAAACTAAAAATAACTTTGCACCAAAAACTTTGAAAATTATTTTACTCTTCAAAAAAATTGACCGTGGTTAGCACCATAGTTGTGTAATTTGTAATATTGCAGGCTTTTGAAATGAAACGTCGTATACAGGATGCTGTCTATTTATCGTTTTAGCAAATTTTTCTTTTCGTAGTCCTCATTTAAAAAAATGGGTACAAAAATAAAACTTCACTTAGATTGCCAGAACGTCAAATCTAGATGTATTTTCCAATGCTGAACAACTTTTCTGAATAATATTTCCTGAATTTTTTTAAAATAAGAGTACTTTACTCTTCTCTCAAAATCAAATATTTGGCTCCTCGTATATTACGTGTGTTTTACTGTATTTTGTTGGTGCATGTTTAGTTTTAGGGAATGCACAAACTTTTATCAAGAATAACTTTTTGTCGAAAAACCCTTAATAAAGAAGTTTCCCATATGGTGCATACTCTGGGGATGACACTTTACATACTAATAACAGAAAAAGGAAAATTTTTTGTACAAAGGATACTGTTAATATCACGAATATCAAAAGTTTCGAATAAGGACTTTGTATTTTTAAAAATCCCGCATATATACTTGAAAGAGTATATTATCTTCAATGGTGAATATTGCCCTACAACTGTTCAAGGTAGATTGAATTTGTTCTTAAATATTGTTTTGCAGAATGAATATTCGCTGAGTATCTAACAAAACATTATCTTGATAAAGTTATTGCAACATTATTAATAACTTTTATTGTGAAGTTTTGAGTTATCTTTGAAGCCCAGAAAAGATAATTGAGGAGCAGATTCCGTTCACTGTAGTTTTCTAATTAGAACAAGGAAAAAAGTTAGGTATAGGTAGAGATAAGAAATCGTTTGATCTAAAAACTACCGAGCAGTCATGAGCTTATTGCACCATGATTATATACAGTAAAGGACCCAAGACTGGCCATTGGGGTACACCTCTGATTATCATTTTTTGGCGTGATAAGTTCCTCGTTTTGGTTTCTTTCAATCATGCACTGCTTTCTATTTACCAGATATGATTTTATTTAATTTGGGATGCAAACCTCGTTTACCATTAATTGACACTATATTTTATGCTCAACACTATCAAAACCTTCCGACAGTTGTACATTCCAAAAGCACGCGTATATTCGTGTACAAGAAGTTTCTTTTTTTTAGAAACGTTCAATTCTAGGTTATCTATACAAAACAAATGGTATCCATGATACCATCTAGAATGATGGTCCAAGTTTTAGCTGTAATAAAATGGCGGTACTATCAGCGAACGTATCCATTTCTCCCTTGCTTTCTGGCAAAAGCAATTTGGGAAGATATTAAATAGTAAGAGTCCTGAAGCGGTATTTTACTGAACACCATATTCGAACAACTTCAGGTTCTTGAAAACGTCCACAATTCGAAATTGTATCCTTTCATTGAGATAACTGATGGCTGATAACAGTAACGTATGACTGACAGTGTTCAATGCTTCTGCTATATCTAAAAATATTCTAGTAGCATTTTTTTA